AGACATTCATATTTAAGAGCAATCATTTAACTTTTGAAATTTTTCTTACGTACATATACAGACTTAGGTGTTTATGTTTTTGCTGTAACACTATATATGTATTCCTCAGGTTGTACGAAACCAAGAGCTAAAAATAGCAGGGCTTATAGTAAAATAAGGTTAAAGACAAACCACTTAAAAAAAAATGTGGAAATCTGTCACTGGAGCACTAACCAAAACTAACGATCCTAGTAATAATATTAGCATAGTTAAATTTCCAAAGAATATTTGCACCTAGCATCAGTGTGAGTCAATCCTTATAGCTCTGCAAAGCATTTTATAGCGGTTTTCAGATATTGTTAGAGTTCTTTTTCTTAATTTGAAAAGTTATATTCCTAACTGCTTCAAAACATGAGTGTCTCTCCAAACCAGATATTCAGAGATACAACGGTTTTCTCCAATTAACTCATTCTCCACAAATCATACTGTGTCCCTAAGCTGGAAAGCACATGTTGTTCTTGATTCTTGATATGCTTGTCAATCATCAAAATTCGACTATATTTTGTGCTATTCTTTGTGAATTATTTTTAGTTAATTAATTATCTATTTATTTGAGACAGGGTCTCACTCTGTCACCCAGGCTAGAGTAGAGTGGCATGATCACACCTCACTGAAGCCTCAACCCCCTGGGCTCAAGCTATGCCCCCACCTCAGCCTCCCAAGTAGTTGGGAATACAGTCTCCTGAGTAGCTAGGATTACAAGCCTGGCTAGTTTTTTTATTTTTAGTAGAGATGAGGTCTTGCTATGTTGCCCAGGCTGGTCTCAAACTCCTGAGCTCAAATAATCCTCCTGCCTCACCCTCCCAAAGTACTGGGATTACAGGCATGAGCCACCATGCCCTGCCTCTTTGTGAATTCTTAATAGGAGTTTTTAGTGTTTCCACTTTCAGTGTTGTTGAGGGTTTTTTTTTTTTTCTACTTAGGATTCTTTATGTTCACTTTCACCAGTGAATTTCTTAATTTCTTTCTTATAATGATTTTTCTAATTGATCCTGTGAGCTCTTTATGTAAAAGCATTAACTCCTTGTCATGCATTTTGTCAATTTTTTTCCCTCAATTTGCTCCTCAGCTTTGAACAAGTACCTTAGGCTACTCCCATCATACCCTACAGTCCTCTACTCTCATATTCACATTGACCATTTGACTGATTTCTGTTACTTAATGGCACCCATTGCCATTCCTCCTGCCCAACTGTAGTCAATAATCTAATTTAACTTTCAGCCCTCTTGTTCTCTATTTTAGCTAAGCAGAGGCTTAACTATGAAGCCTGCTTTTTCCTTTTTTTTTTTTTTTTTTTCAGACAGAGTCTCACTCTGTTGTCCAGGCTGAAGTGCAATGGCATGATCTCGGCTCACTGCAACCTCTGCCTTCTAGATTCAAGGGATTCTCCTGCCTCAGCCTCCCGAGTAGCTGGGATTACAGGCCCACACCACCACACCTGGATAATTTTTGTATTTTGAGTAGAGGCGGTGTTTCATCATGTTGGCCAGGCTGGTCTTGAACTCCTGACCTCAAGTGATCTACCCACCTTGGTCTACCAAAGTGCTGGGATTACAGGCATGAGCCACCATGCCCGGCCTGAAACCTGGTTTTTCAATAAAGACTCTTCTCAGTCTTGAAGTCTCTGAGTCCCTGGCACTCTGAGGACCCCACAGATCATAAAGGTGTCCATTTCTGCTGCAGCTTTTCAGTAGTGTCAGAGTGACGGCTATTGACAGCAGGGATTTGTCACTGGCAGCAGTGACACCTGCTGGCCCTGCAGCTGTAGCTCCTGGTCAGGCATTTTGGAACTAACATCTCTCCTTTCCCCAACATACCTTACAAAGCCACCACATATGCTAGAGCACTTTCATGACCGTTCTCTATTTTACTTACACCACAATGAAGATCTCATTAAATCTATTCTTCCAGCATGGCTTCAGCTCTCGGAACCACTCTCAAGCTATAGCTACAATATTCTAAGCTCTTCTGTGGTTACAGACACAAAGTCTATACCACAAGGATGAGAGATGATCAGCATTTTACCACAACAAAGCATGGACGACTTGCTTTTCAAATCAGATTAGGCTCACGCTTTGTGTCTCCCCAGGTCATCTCAGCACAGGGACAGAGCTACAGTGTGTGAGGCCCTGGACAGGGCCTTATCTTGTATTTTAAAAATTGGCTAAAAATGTTTTACAAAATTCACGGGCACAAATGAGGTATAGTGATCTTTCCATAATTTTTTTTTTTTTTTTTTGAGATGGAGTCTCACTCTGTCGCCCAGGCTGGAGTGCAGTGGTGTGATCTTGGCTCACTGCAACCTCTGTCTCCCAGGTTCAAGCGATTCTCCTGCCTCAGCCTCCTGAGTAGCTGGAATTACAGGCTCCCACCACCACACCTGGCTAATTTTAATTTTAGTAGAGTCGGGGTTTCACCATCTTGGCCAGGCTGGTCTCAAACTCTTGACCTCGTGATCCACCCGCCTTGCCCTCCCAAAGTGCTGGGATTACAGGAGTGAGCCACCGTACCCAGCCTCCATAAATATTTTCAGTGAGTTGAGAAGAAGTACTTAGACAGTTATTATCTACAGATTCTTCATTCTGAGTTAAAGTCACCCCAGATCAGCATGTCAGTACCATTCTGGCTGTCCACTATCATGTGATTCTGTGAAAGAAATACGCTCCCATCAGCAGCAGTGACCTGATTGCCAGGCTGTCCTCCTGAAACTGGAGTTCAACCATGGAGACCCCATAGATAAAAGTCCTGCAGAGCTCCTGAGACATCTGGTTGACCTCACATGCTAGATACAGGGTCAAAGATCACCTGAAAGGGACAGAAAAAAACAAACAAGGACTAGCATCCACGCAGGTCTTGGTCTAGGTTCATGTGCCCTGTCCAGATGGCATTGCCAGCCCTGGCCAGTTCTACACACTGAACTGTGATTTAGAAAACTTCAAAGAAGGTATTATGAAGTGTGGGGCCCCATGAGACATGGGTCCCGCTTGCCTGGGTGAGGGTAGAACTATCCCAGTGTCTAGACTATATGGTCTATTTCTCATCAGCCATTTTTTTTTAAATTTATTATTATTATTATTATTTTAGACGGAGTTTTGCTCTTCTTGCCCAGGCTGGAATTTAATCGCACAATCTCAGCTCACTGTAACCTGTAACCTCTGCCTTCCAGAAATTGCACAATCTCAGCTCACTGTAACCTGTAAACTCTGCCTTCCAGGTTCAACCGATTCTCCTACCTCAGCCTCCTGAGTAGCTGGGATTACAGGCATGCGCCACCACGCCTGGCTAATTTTGTATTTTTAGTAGAGACAGGGTTTCTCCATGTTGGTCAGGCTGCTCTCAAACTCCCGACCTCAGGTGATCTGCCTGCCTCAGCCTCCTGAAGTGCTGGGATTACAGGTGTGAGCCACTGCGCCCGGCCATCACTCATTCTTTGAATTGGTATTGGAATGAATTTATTTCAAGTTGTAACGTCATAAAAAGATATGAGTAATCTTAAGTAATGGAAGTTTATTCAAAAGATACTGCAGCCATTTTACTCCAGGTCTTTATTATTTTAGTCTCTCCTTTCCCTTCGAGGTCTCTCAGTGGCAGTTCTCCCATTCTCTCCCTTCATCCCCACCCTCTCACGCAAAGCAGGGCAGATCTAGTTCGGTCGGTTACTCACATCTGATACGGAATGCTCTGATCCAGTCCCACAGGGCCAGCATAGCAGGCTTGGTCTCCATACAAGTTCATCGCCACTTTTCTCAGAGAAAACCCTGTACCTGGCACGTGCCAGGAAACTTCATGGTCTGTCCAGTGCAAGACTCCTGATACATTTCATCTAACTGTCTTCCAAAAGGGCAATGCCAGTTTACCTTGCCACCAGAAATATGTGGGAGCATGCCCTTCTTAGTACATTTGCCAGCAGTGAGGAGATTCATTATTTCATAAATAATTAGTTAATATGGGCCGGGCTCGGTGGCTCAAAACCTGTAATCTCAGCACTTTGGGAAGCTGAGGTGGGCGGATCTCTTGAAGCCAGGAGTTTAAGTCCAGCCTTGCCAACTTGGCAAAACACCGTCTCTATTCTAATAATAATAATAATAATAATAATAATAAGCTAATGTGATAGACGAAACTACTAGAGTGTTGTTTAAATGTACATGGGCACTTTCTTAGTAGTAACATGCAGTATAAACTTGTTAATCAATTAATTTTTCTCTTTGGTGAATTGCTTATTTTGGTTCATTACTAATTTATCTATTTACAGCTGAGTATTTTCCACATCTATTTATGTGTGCTAATCATAACTTCAAGCTATTGGCCATTTTTGCCATATTTATATGAACTTAACTTCTTTTTTCTTTTTTCTGTTCTTGCTTGTTTTTAGACTTGGATACATTTATCTTTTAATGAACAGAATTTTAAATTTTTTTAAAAAATCAAAACTGCTAATATTTTTCTTTGTAATTTATTTCATCCCTTTGGCTCTTAAAAAGTGCCCCTTTTCTATTTCATAGATTTGCTAAATATTTATTTCAAATTTCAAATTTCCTCTATTTTTAAGATAGCCATTATTTAAAATGCTTATTCTCTAAAAACATTAAATAATTCTGTAATTATATATTTAGCTAATGAGATAAGAATCTAAGTTCATGTTTTAAATAAATAATTTACTAATTCTTCTATCTGCATTAATTTTAAAAATCTTGTAAAATTTATTTGTGACATTAACCTTTCTCCATTATACATTTGTGTATGAAAAAGGATTTGTGTCTCAGTCCATTCATTTACAAATAGTCTAGATGAGGTTTAAATACTAAAGTAAAAAGGAGACTTTTCTTATTCAATAACTTTTAATAAGCTCAAATTCTGCAGTATAATTTTTCATCTAATGTGTTTTCCTGATTTAATCTGAATTTTATAATTTCTTGACTCCTTGCTTTTTAGAACAGTGTTGGCTTTATTTCATAAATGAATTTTGAATAAAACGACATCAATTTATTTTTATTTCATAATCCACAAAACATTTCAAATTAAAGAAATACAACATTAAAAGTCTCCAGTTTTTGCTTTAATTTCACATTTCATACACTCACAATATTTAGGAAATAGTCGTTTTGACTGTCTTATAACTGGGATAAGGGTGCAGCAACAATTCTGCCAGATGGTTAAATGCCCCAGAGGATTTCTGGTCTTCTCTTCCTAATTTGGAAGATATAAAGCAGTTTTTACTTCCAACATAAATTTTTGATAAAAATCATATTCTGTTGATTTTTCGTGTTAGACATTAAGGATGACATGTAAGTAAAAAAAAAAAAAAAAAGTAGCCTTGATACCAAGTTAATATTCCCTTGAAATCTTACTCGGCTGCTAAATTTCTTTGTTGAAAACCAACTTATAACAAATTGGTTATCCTGTTAGTCTTTTTCTCTTTTTTTTTTCTTTCTTCCGTTTTCTTCCTGTTCCCTCTTTCCCTCACTCTTTCTTTCTGGCATGTTTAATTAGAGAACATTTTCTATAAGCATTATTGAGAATAATTGTCCTTGAGGAATGATGGGTAATGTAAGCGAAATGAAAATAATAAAGAAAATGCTACATGGAATCTCTTATTCTTGAACCATGTTCAGACACTATTAGCTGTGACCACTGCAATAGGAAATGAAAAAGAGAGCACTTTTTCACTGAAAATCCCAGTGTTCAAAGAAACAAAGAAACGGCCACATAAACTAAATATTCACAATACTGGAAATGAACCACAGGCTTTTTGAGTAATACTCCAGTTAACTCATGTCCTTAAATGAGAAGGGCAGCCACAGACATCTGCCCACTGGAGCTCTCTGGTGCCCACATTTAGGGATGCATCCTTCCTTACAAGGGCAGCCACCTGTGGAAGTGGGTTCTTAAATAACTGTGTGCACCAAAGACCATCTGGCATGGCTTAATCACTGTACAAAGACTCTGCAGAGAAGTTGGAATTGAGATTCTTAGAGAAGCAAACAAGGGATGATGCCTGATGATTAAGAGTCAATCCAGGAAGGAGAATTCTTCATGGGTAACATCTATTTCAATAACAAACTCTCTCCGCAGTGACTCATACTTATTTGTCTGTGAAGTTACAAAAGAAGATCCCCAGAGAAAGTGCTTTCCAAGTTGCTAGATGTAAGTTTAAGAAATAAAATTTTTCCCTTAAGAAAAATGTGAGCTTGGTTTTAAACTTGAGGCTTGTTTTTAGGCCAAATGAATTGGGTTTTTTCTTGTTGCTTTTCTAACAAGGTAATGACAACGGTGAAGAAAAGGTAAATCATCATGTTAGTAAATCCAAGGATTTTGCCTCAAGAAATTAGATAACTATTCTTGGGAAAAACACATAAAGAGTTTGTCCAGAAAAAATTAGTGTCAAAAATGAAACATCCAATGACAACAAAAGAGTTCAGTTTCCTGTGCTTGAGTCCCACACTTTTCATAATGAGTAAAATCAAGGAACTTTAGAATGTCCTATGTTCTGTCATTTCATGCCCACATATTCCATTAAAAATCCAAGATTGGCCAGACATGGTGGCTCATGCCTATAATTCCAGCAATGTGGGAGGCCGAGGCAGGAGGATCATTTGAGTTTAGGAGTTTGAGACCAGCCTTGGCAACATAGTGAGACTTCATCTTTACTAAAATTCAAGCAAATTTAGCTGGGCATGGTAGTGCACCCCTGTAGTCCCAGCTACTTGGGCACTAAGATGGGAGGATTACTTGAGCCGGGGAGATAGAGGCTGCAGTGAGTCCTGATCATGCCACAGCAAATCCAGCCTGAGCGACAGACCAGGACCCCGTCTCAAAAGAAAAAAAAAAAAAAAGAAATCCAAGATTGTAAAATGTCAATATAATTCACTTCTCATTCTAAAGAAAGTAATATCCGAATTCCTTAGAAGATTTCTCTTTAAAGTGACACTGATTTTTTTTTCTCTTTCTAGTTACATTGGAAGTAAATGAGGATTGTAATCCACAAATATCTAAAGTTTTAATTTTAATTAAAATATATATAATGCATCTCAGTGGATTCTTACATTAGAATCACTATTTTTAATAAGCCTCACATTGAATAAAAAATACATAAATATAAAACCCTTGGGAGAAAATATTACATTTTTTGAAACAAAAGGGAAAACATGTGCTCCAAGAAAATACGTTTTACATTGTAATGTCCAACTTGCACAACCATGCTTCAACTTGGAATTCGTTAGTTATTTGGGCCATGCCCTCAAAATTCTGTTTAGCCTATTTACGATTTCCTTTCAATAAAAGACAAGACAAGAAAGAAACAAAAACCAAAAGCACCCTACTCAGGAATCTGGGAACGCCTTGATGATGGACTCATAGGCAGGTGGGGGCGGTGTTGAAAGGCCCACTCGAAGACTGTTACTGGACCAGTAATCAGGACGGCTCAGACTGTGGGAAGTGCTGATGGTGGGAGAGATGCTGGAAGAAGGGAGAGTCACCAGCTGACTCTCAGTTTCCACAGGAAGTGGTGGACATTGCAGAAAGGGATGGAAAGTAGAAGCTCTGAAACTTGATTTTCTTGGAAAGGAATTTGCTTGTTCCAGGGAAGCTTGTCGCTGGAAAGTGAGACTGGCCAGGCTGAGGTTGCTGCGACGTTCACAACCACTGTGGCGGTAAAATCCAGTTCTGTTGAGGCCATGGGAGTAAGAAGACCTAGATCTCCTGCTTGAACTCCACTGCGAGATGGGAGCACTGGCTCTTCTTCTTCGAGACAGACAAATGAACACAGCCCAAATAAATCCTCCAAGTACCAGCCCGATTGCCATGGATACGGTGAAGGACATGATAAGGTCCTCTGAAACAAAGAAAGTAAATTACTAAATCCATTTTTAAATAGATTTTCAACCAAAAACAAGGGTCAGCATATATGCTGTAATTCATAGAATACTGATTAATTTAAACATACTTTGAATCAGGAAAATAGAAGACGGTGTTAGGTGGATATGAACAAATGAAAGCTGATAATGCTTCCATTTATTCAAGCAGAAAGATACAAAATAACACTTTCAGCTGTGGCATTCCAGGTCACTTAAGCTGTTTTATCATCTTTAAGAAATAAAAGATAAAAGTAGTCTTACTTGATGTCATTAATTTATGGCATTTAGCTCATACATTTTTTAAAGAGTTGCAAATGTAGCCCAAAGTTGATTTCCTTTTGAGTTATGGTAGTAACTAATGTGCTGGATTGATAAAGAATTTTGTCAACACTTTAACGTTGCCTTTTCCTCTGTCTGCTTTCATCAATCACATTGATTTCTGCCACCTGCAGTCTTCATGATGCCTCACTTCCTTTGCTCTGTCTGAGATAGGAAGTGCTGGAATAGAACCATCTGGCCAGCTGACTGATTTATGTCAAATTTCCTGAACTCCCAGACAGTCACCTATATCTCTGACTCTTTGATGACTTGACCTGTGCAGACTACTGGGCTCTTTCTTGTTTCCCAGGTTCCAGCTCATGCTTCTATTATGCCCTTGGGATGATGAAATTCCTGTAGCCCGAACCTCCATAGAGTCTCTGCTACACACCAGTATTCTCTAATTCGTAGAACTTGTAATTTGTTCAGATTTCCCTTTCTGGGGAGAAAAATGCCTTTTCCTAATGGAAATGCTACCTTATTGTCTCTTGTAAACTAAATACACATTCTCAAATGAAAATGGGTAACTGAGTCTCCTCTTGCCACACCACTTTGTATAGAAAAACTCTGGATATTAGAAGACTCCTCCAGCCTGGTCCCCCACATTTCCCCACCATGATGTAATCCACAAGTCATGTTGGTTTCTCACTGTACCAAAGCCTGTCATTCTCTCTAAAACTCTGTGATTTTCCACATATTTTTCCTTATATCTGAATTCAATTTTTTAATCTTCTGTCTGGAAAACCCATTCTTCAAGCTCTACTTCAAGTATCACATCTTCAATAAAGACTCTGACACTTCCTAGACAAAAATGAATTGCTGCCAAGTGGAAAGGTAAGCTATCATATCTAATTGCTTATCTAGGTATTCTGTATTGAGAGAGCCATAGCCTGACCTGAAAATTAGCTGATGGGTGTTGTGAGACTGGGGAAGAGGGGGAGAAAATAGCCACAGAAGTTTTGCTGTTCTTTCCATCAAGAGATAGTCTATTTCTCTACCCCTTGAATCTGGCGGGCTTCATGACTGGCTTTGATGAGTAGGATGCAATGGAATTGAAGCTATACAAGTTCAAGCCTAAGCTACAAGAGGCTCAGCTTCCACCCTTCCTGCTCTTGGGACCCCTGCCATTGTCAGCATATAAATAAGGCCAGACTAGCCTGCCAGATGATGAGAGACACATGGCCCAGAAACCCCTACAGCCCTAGCCAAGAGCCTGCTAACCTGGACATATGAATGGCATCATCCTATATAATTCAAATGCTAGTCAAATCACCAAATGATTGTGACACATGAGCAAAGACCAGCAGAAAATCCACCAAGCTGACTTCATCTCAAATTACCAATCCACAGGATTGTGAGCTAAGCAAATTATTATTATTTTAAGCTACTATGTTTGGGGGTGGATAGTTACATGGCAAAAGTTCTCTGATACAGGGTTCCAAACTCAGCTCTGTTCGTAATATGTTTTGTGATTTTTAGGGAATTTGTTTAGACCCACTGATTTCATTATGTATGTGTGTGTGTGTGTATATATATACTCACATATATACATATACACATATATATGAAGGAGTTAGATTTTATGATTGCCAAGGTTCTTTTTAGCATATTGTTGTAATCTGTGATAATATATAGACTACCTAGAATGCAGAAATAACAAAACAAACTAACGTTAATAACTACAAAGGAATAATCACTACTGTCTAATTTTAGGATATAGTTCAGTGTCCTTACACTGTATATTGTCACATTTATCTCCTGTGGAAAAGCTATATTTATTGTGTCCTACTTTCACAGTTATCTGTACAAATAGTTATATCGACATTCTCTAAAACAACGGCTTTAGGCAAAGGTCCCAGGCACATTTTTTAGTGTGTTATATCACTTAATCCTCAAACATCCCAATAAAGGAAATGCTAGTGTTATTCCCATTTAATAGTTGTGGCTACTGAGAGGTAAGTAGCAAGCCCATAGTCCCACATCTGGTGAAGGTCAAGTGAGGATGTGAGACCAAAGCGTCTTAATTAATAGCTAAAGTGTTTATTTATTTTCTAAGTGTAAGGTAAGAAAATATTAATCTAAAATGAAAATAAGCAATACAAAGTTCATAAAAATTTGTCGATTCAATACCAGAGTATCTTGCAACCTGTTATGAACAGAAATACTTGAGAGAATGGTGGTTAAATAATATTGTGTGTTCTACAGATATATTTCCATTAATCAATAGCCTTTAGTGGAGACTTTTAAATATCAACAAGTTTAGCTGTGGATGCACAAAAATGGAGTTTCAGCTAAAACAAAATCAAAAATGTGTTGGACATAAATTCCTCATTTTATAGATATTGAAATGGAAGCTAAGGTTTATGTGGTAGATCTAACACTTGATTTACTGTAATAACTGATTGACAAGTATCACTGGTTAGGGAACTATTAGTTACACTCGTGTGTGATATAAATGAGAAGACAAATACTCAAATGTACAAAGTATATGTCCTTGCTATTGTGTGTAAATGTCCGTAACCACTACTAGAGTCTGACTATCTCAGTATATAAGCAGGCATAATAGATAAAATTTAGAAAGAGATATTTCCTTGATTTCAGCAAAATGAAGTCAAAACCAGAATCTGAAAGGAGAAAATATATTCAGTTAGTCAACGAAAGCATTTAAAGTTTACAAGAGTCCTTATACATGGTCTCTGTGTATGCCCTTTGAGATTCTCATCTTCTAACAAATCAGATATTCCAAATATAAATGTTATTTATAGTGGAATAATAGCAAACTTTAGATTCAAGAAAAAAAAAGAAACTATTTAAATCAATGAAATCAATGAAAAATAATTTCTTGTCTATTATTGTGATTGAGGCCAGGCGCAGTGGCTTATGCCTGTAATCCCAGCACTTTGGGAGGCCGAGGTGAGAGGATCGCTTGAGCCCAGACCAGCCTGGGCGACATAATGGGATCTGTCTCTACAAAAAGTAAAAATAAATTAATTAAATAAAATACAGCGATTGAGCAAAACAGCAATTAGCAAAAATACAGCGATTAGCAAAAACAACAAAAATAGATGGAGTAAGAAATACATTTAAATTTCAGATGACTGTTTTATTTCCAAAATATATTATTGTTCTGATGTAAGAAAACTAAGATAATATCCAAACTCTAATGGACAAGTTATTACAGAATATATTGAACCATCACAATATTCTTAAATGACAAGTTTCAGTTTGGGGAGTAAAAAGATTATTTTTGTGGCACTAAAACTGTAACAATATTTCCATAAAAGGAATTTGACAACAAACCTATTTAAAATGATCATTCTCTGTGGCTTGGTAATACTTTGATTTGATACTGTAAACCTATTGTCTATGCCCAAAATTTGGGGAAATGACTTAAAATATTATCAAATACTGGGTTACATAGATATCCAAAAAGGATTAAAAAATGAATTTAAAATGTACATGAGAATCATAAGAATAACATATACACACAATAATAGGCTATTTAAATTTTGAATGAATATAAAGTAGCATAAGATGGAGGTGCAACAGAAATCACAAAAATTACAAAAAAATTTCTTTTGATATGGATTTGTTTAATTTTTGCTCAGTAGAGTTCATGTATCATGAAAATAACTTTTTAATCCACAAAGTCAGTAAAATACACACATTAGAAATTGTATTAGTCTGTTTTCATGCTGCTGATAAAGACATACCTGACACTGGGCAATTTACAAAAGAAAGTGGTTCAATTGGACTTACATTTCCACATGGCTGGGGAGGCCTCACAATCATGGTGGAAGGCAAGCAGGAGCAAGCCACACCTTGCGGGGATGGCAGCAGACAGAGAGAGCTTGTGCAGGAAAACTCCCCCTTATAATAACCATCAGATCTCGTGAGACTGACTTACTATCACGAGAACAGCACAAGAAATTCCTGCCCCAATGATTCAATTACCTCCCACCGGGTCCCTCCCACAACATGTGGGAATTCAAAATGAGATTTGGGTGGGGACAGAGCCAAACCGTATCAGAAATCATTGCACTAATTCTTATACCTTGCAGAATATTAAAACACATACAAATAATACTGCTGACAGAAGAATTTCTAAGACTTCCTGAGATATGTGGTAAAATGCTTATCTAACTTCTTAAGCTCCCTTAAGTCCAAACAGCAAAGGCAAATGTAGAAATGAAGAAAGGCAAAGAGAAAGAGATGCTGAGTCAAACAACAGCAGTGGTCTTTCATACACTTTTTTTTTTCATTTAATTATAGTTAATGATTTTTCTGACCTGTCCACACTAGAATTTAGAAACTGTGTGATGAAAGCAGCATCTACTGGTGATACAGCTTTAAATTTTCATATATGTAATTCCATTCTGGCAGACTTTTAACAATGTATTTTGGGAGCCTTTTTTAAAACCTGGTGTAGAAGAAAATATAACTGAAAAAAAAAGACATTGGCACAGATATTACTTTTTAAAAAATGATTTGCCTTCTTACTTCTCAACAATCTTAGGAGAAGAAAAATGAGCCATAATCTTTCTTCTTATAATTGCAATATAATGCAACTTATAAGACCAAATGGTTACTTTTAAAAAATGTAACTTTCCTTTTGAAAGCAGAAGGAAAAAACTCTAACATTGGTAAGGTATGCCATATA